TCAGGAGAAGCAGGTCACCTGTGAATAAAGCCCTCCTTGGGGCTGGGCCCTGCTCTTCCCCTGAACCTGTGTGACCAGGTCACCCCCATGGACTCCAGGGTGAAAGCATGACATTCTGTGTACTTTCCATGATGGTGGAGGATTGGATTGCTCAGGTCATGTGGCTGTGACCTTTCCTCCCGTTTCCCAGCAAAGCTGACACAGGCACGTCCAAAACCACCACCAAATACCAAGGGAATGAAGATGGAAAGCAAGGACAACTCAGAGTCCCTCCCAGAGACTGGTCCTGGCCAAGAATAAAAACAGCTGGCATTTATTGGGTGTTTATTCTGATCCAGGCGTACATGGTTAACATATTTCCATTCATCCTCTCCTCATAATAACTCTTTGGGGGGAACTACAGTGGCCCCCATGTTCCCAATGAAGAAACTAAGGCCCAGAGAGGCTAAGGAACTTGCCTGGGGTTGCACAGCCAAAGAAAGCAAAGATGTGATTTGAATTTAGGTAGCCAGACTCCAGAGTCCATGCTCTTAAAACAATAAGGCGTCAACACCTTTGTGCCCAAGGATTTGACAATGGTCTTACCTTCTTTTCACTTGATAAACAGAATCATTCACTCGCTCATCATCAAATATCCATTAGCAGCTACTATGTGCTCCTGAGAGAGATGGTAGAGCAGTAAGTGGGATTCCAACTCTTTCAAGATCACAGTCTTGACTAGAAGTGTGAAGCCCTGAGTCCAAACCCCAGTTCCATCAAAAAAAAAAAAGAAAGATCACAGTCTCACCAGATGTTCAGGGTTTCCTCTCTCCCCTGACAACCAGGTTTCTCTATCTCAGATCATCCTTTGATCATCATCTCTTTCTCTACCTGCTTACTAAAATGCCAGGGCTCCCCAAAGCTCCACTTGGCCCCTCTCCTATCCTGTGGCTACCGCCACCACTGCTGCCACCTGCTGGTCATGGACAGCCTCCGTCATTCCCACTGAGCACAGGTAAAACAGAGAACTCACTAATTCTGGGAACAGCTGTGCCAAACCTGGGCGTGGTGGTGCAAGCCTGTCATCTCAGCTATTCAGGAGGCAGGAGGATCGAAGAGTTCGAGGCCAGCCCAGGCAGAGATAGTGTATAAGAACTCATCTACCATGCTTATTTGTGACAGGGGTTGTTTATGACTCCTGTGTCCACTCCTGAGCTCCAGTCCCATGTGAGCTGCTGACACATGGCGTCTTGGAAGTTAATTAGACCCATAGACTGTGTCACAGACAAATGAGACGTCCTCCCCATGCATTCCGTGCCCCTCACTTGCCTCCCCTGTGGCTCCTGCCTGAATGGGGGTTGACCTTTTTAACCCAAAGACAGCCATCCATCTCAAAGAGATTTTTCTCCTGTGAGCATGTCTCTCCCTCCCTTTTCCTCTGCCCTCCCCACATCTCAGAAAGAAAATGCGGCCAGTGGCTCACACCTGTAATTTAGCTACTCAGGAGGCAGAGATCAGGAAGATTGCAACTCAAAGCCAGCCCCAGGCAAATATTTCTCTAGACCCTATCTCAAAAAAACCCATCACATTTAGAAAAGGGCTGGTGAAGTGGTTCAAGATACAGGCCCTGAGTTCAAACTCCAGCACCACAAAAAAAAAAAAAAGAAGAAGAAGAAGAAAGAAAAGAAAAAAAAGAAGAAAATGCCAAGGGATAAGGAAAAAAGACAGGAAGTAACTTTGAGCACCCAATATGTCAGGCCTGTGGTGGGCAGGGCACATCCACTGTAGGCAACGTAGAAAGGGCTTCTGTGTTGGAGCCTGACGCTGTTCCAAACACTGATCTCTAAGACCAGGTGAATGGCACATCTGCACCCTGACGGAGGTGCACAATTTCCCCATTTCACAGACAAAAACCCAAGGCAGTACGCAGCATGGAGGTGGATTATGGAGAGCCAGGATTATGGCCCCCAGTCTGCACTGCCTGGCCAGATGCCAACTCAGGATGCCCTCCACCCCAGACAGCAGGAAGGCTGCTGTGCAAAGGAAGGGCAGGGAAATCGCCCCATCAAAAACTGGAAGGGGTGAGATTCCAGACACAAGGGAAAGGGGCCTGGATGTGGGGGGTTGGGGTTCAGAGGCAGGAGTGTGGGACCCAGATGTAGAGGTATGGGGCCCAGACTCCAGGGTGTGGGGTCTGGATGTAGGGGTGTGGAGTTCAGGTGCAGGGATGTGGGGACCAAATGCAGGACATGGGATCCAGGTTCAACTCCCCACCTTTTTTAGGATGGGTCGGTAGGAGAAAGGCCTGAGAAGGGTGTCCTGTGGGGCTGCTGGAGAGAGAAAACATCTGGGCGAAGAATTTGGGATGGCCTGGGTGTCCCAAGGCAGCTAGAGCCAGAGGTGAGAATGAAGGACCACGTGGGAGCAACCAGAGACCGAGTACTCAGACAGCAGCCCCAGGAAACTGAGTCCTAAGTGTTAGCAACTGAGGACTTGGGAAGAGAATTGAGAAGGCAGGACAGGCGAGGGCTCCTCCCACACGGGCCCAGGGACAGGAGAAAGAGCAGGGAGTCAGAGTGGACCTGTGGCTGTCCCTAAGAAGATGCTCAGCACCTTGGAAGAAGGAAACCCCTAAGTTTCCAAAGCCTCATGGAAAGCAGTCTGGGGAGGCTGGGACCCAGCCAATGGCAGTGAGGACCGTGGCTGCTCCTCCTCCCCAGGCCGGCCTGCCACACCCAGGTTGCTCTGCTCAGCAGCCTCTGCCTCAGGAATGAGCTTCCCCAGACCTTGTCTGGTTCCGACATGAATTCCACTGCTTACTAAATTCCACTGCTGGCTCAGGAACGGGACCGGGAGGCCTGAGGACTAGCCACTCAGGTAAATGCATCTGTGTCCAGATGTGCCCTGACCTTGGCACACCTGGCTGAGAAATTTCTCTGGAGGAAAATGGGGGGAGATGGCCTTAGGACACATGGGCCACCCTGGGTCCCGAGGGTGGAGGGAAAAGCTCCTCCCTATTTGCTCTGGACACTTCCTTCTCCCCCCAATGGAGCCAAGGTAGGAGTGGAAGCTGACTGGGAGAGTGGCTGAGAGCGTTGAAACTTTGCAGCTGTGCTGGGACCTGCGCAGCCCCACCCCACGCAGAACTGGCTAGAGAGAGCCCTGAGGCCTGAGGGTTGGGCCTCCCAGGGTGTTCCAGTTCCACCCACCTGAGGCAGGACTGAGCAGAGAAGCTGGTGACTCATAGCAGGGGCTGTGCATCAAGTGATGGGTGGTGAAGAGAGGCGGGGTAGGGAGTAGATACATCCCAAGCCCCCTCGCTCAGATCCACAAGGTGAGAGGAAGTGCACATGGACTCACCCACAGGCAGCTCACTGGACTTGAGCAAAGAGGTCCAGCACAAGACTGGGTGGTTCCCAGAAGATGGGCTCTGAACCAGCCTGCCTGGGTTCAAATCCCAGCTCTGCCACTTACTAGCTGTATAGCAGCGAGCAAATCGATTAACATTTCTGACCTCCACTCCTCCTCATCCGTAAATTGAGAGTAAAAATCCCCTTAAGTTGCGGTGAAGAACAATGATGGACTTACACAAAGTGCTGTTAAGCAAAGTGCTTACAGCAATGCCTATCCTGGCATAAACACCCAATCAGCTTGGCAGTTAGCACATCCTGTTTGGCCGGGGGCAGGACTACTGGGGTCGCATCAGCACTTGGAGGGGGATCTTGACTCCATAGAGCCTGTGCATATAGGCTCCCTGGGCATCCAGAGTGCACAGCAGGGTAAGACCACAGTGCCACCCCCACAGGAATGAGATAGAGGACTTGAGTGAGGTGGTCACCCTGTCCCATTCCTCCCACCCCTCGCCACACACACACACACACACACAAAGTAGTCCTGTTCCTTAAATTGAGGTGAATTTGCTTCTATGGGTTCCTCAGGCCAAGGTCACCAACCAAAGTGACCAGAGCAGCAGTTCCTATGTTACTGTCGTCACTAGGCTGGTCACAACATGATCAAAGACAAGCCAGCCGGGTGCCAGAGCTCACACCTATAATCCTAACTACTCAGGAGGCAGAGATCGGAAGGATTGTAGTTCAAGGCCAACTAGAGCAATAAAAGCCAGACCTTATCTCGAAAATACCCAACATAAAAAAGAGCTGGCAGAGTGGCAGTTGTACAGCGGCTGCCTAGCAAGTGTGAGGCCCTGAATTCAAACCCCAGTACTAAAAAAACCAAAAAAGACGTGCCAGAGGGCAAAGGAATTCTGTGGTCAACAGAGCACAGCTGAGTAAGGAACCCAGGACTCATCAACTTTTCTCTCACTACTTCTAAGGCAGGTCCATGGACCAGGGTTCTCTGGAACACTGGTTTGGGAACCACTGATGACCAGCCCACTCTAGGAAGCCTGTTGTGTGAAGAGAATTGTGGCTCCCCACTTTGTCTTTGCCATTGGCCTGACTTCAGGTGAGTTGTACCTCGATATTGATTTATAGAGGGTTAAGACTAGATGGGGGCCTGGGGACAAGGTTCCAGCCCCATCCCCCAAGCCAGCAAAGGACAGAAAGCAAGTTTCCCTTGGGAGGGACTGCCTGAGGCTAGACAGCAATGCTCAGAAAGGAGTGAAGTCACCCCAACGCTCAGCATCTGGGGAGAGGGCAGAGTTGGAACAGAGGAAGAAGGTACAAAGGCCCAACCCATAAGTCTTCACACAGCAGGACTCCTGCAAGGAATGGCAGCTCCCTGTATCCACCCTCACCCACTTTTATGGATAGAGTTGGGTTCTGACTTAATTACCTGTGCTCAACCCCCAGCTCTGCACTTAATAGTTGCGTAAGCTCGTATACTGCCTCTAAACCTCAGGTTGCCTCATCTGTAAAGTGGGGATGATGCTAGAACCTAGTCCTAGTGGTTGTGGGGATTAAATATGACGCCACATTTCTACAAAGCGCTCAGAGTGTTGTACGATGTGAGCAATGACAATTATCTTTTCCCTGCAGTAGCAGCAGACACTTGGGTCCACCATGAACTGGGGGATCTTTGAGGGACTCTTAAGTGGAGTCAACAAGTACTCCACAGCCTTTGGGCGCATCTGGCTGTCTCTGGTCTTCATCTTCCGAGTCCTGGTGTACCTAGTGACAGCTGAGCACGTGTGGAGTGATGACCACAAGGATTTCGACTGCAACACCAAGCAACCAGGCTGCTCCAATGTCTGCTTTGACGAGTTCTTCCCCGTGTCCCACGTGCGCCTCTGGGCCCTGCAGCTCATCCTGGTCACGTGCCCCTCGCTGCTTGTAGTCATGCATGTGGCCTACCGCAAGGCTCGGGAGCAGAGACACCAAGAGGCAGTGGGCCAGGGTGGTGGGCACCTCTACCTGAACCCCGGCAAGAAGCGGGGTGGTCTGTGGTGGACGTATATCTGCAGCCTGTTGTTCAAGGCCATTGTGGATGCTGCCTTCCTTTATGTGTTCCACTCATTGTACCCCCAATACACCCTCCCTCCTGTGGTTGCATGCCACGTGGCTCCGTGTCCCCACACGGTGGACTGCTTCATCGCCAGGCCCTCGGAAAAGAACACCTTCACTCTGTTCATGGTGGTCACATCTGCCATCTGCATCCTGCTTAACCTTGTGGAGCTGGCCTACCTCGTGAGCAAGCGGTGTCTTGAGTGCCAGGCAGCGAGGAGAGCCTTTGCCACACACATGGGACATCACATGGGCTATGTCACCTCTTCCTACAAACAGGATGACCTCCTCTCGGGTGACCTCATCTTTCTGAACTTGGAAACTCATCCCCCTCTCTTGCCAGACCGCCCTCAAGACCACATGAAGAAAACCATCCTGTGATTGGACTGGTGGGGCAGGCCTGGGTTGGAAGGTTCCAGCATCTCTCATGAGTGCAGCTGTGGGGAGAGGAGCTGAGTCAGCTGGAGGCCGGAAGAAGAAAGAATTCACACAGCCTGGGATCCAGTCACCTGCCCCAGCTGTGGGGCCTTGGGCACAATTCCTGTCTGCTTGATGCCTCAGTTTCCTTTTCTGTAAATGGAGATGATGAAGGCCACCTTTCAGGGTCATTGAAAGAGGATTTAATAAAAGAGCAGGTGGGCAAGCACCTTCCATGTGTGCAGCCCACAGTCAGGACTTATTAAAGACCCATGCATTTGCTGATTCAAGGTGTCCTTTGGTCATTTGGCTTTTGTGACTCTCCTCAGGTCACTGTGTTGATCTCTGCCCCTGTGAAGGGCTGTGCTTGATCCTGTCAGTTAAGGAGCCCGCCTAGCTCAAGGCAAGCCCTTTGCCACTTGGAAGTTTAGGCCCATGAGCTATCTGCAGGGTAAAGTAGCTGGGTTCACACAGAGCCACGCGTGACGGTGGAAAGTGTGTAGACTCTGGAGTCAGCACGCTGCATTCAAACCCAAGAGCCACTGGGACTGTGGGAAAGTGACTTCAGCTTTTCTCCAAAATAGGTTACTGGCCTGTAAGATCACTGAAACGATGGCTATCACAGGGCTAGCCGGCTGTAAAAAGCCACATAAATGTCAGTCATTGCTGTTGGGAAGAGTTTCATAAACGCTTGTGGGAAATGAGGCAGAGGCCCCTTCCTTGCTACACCATCCCTGCCAGTCCTGACTACCGACTCCTCTGGAGCCCCTGCTGGGTCACAGCACAGTGTCCCTGGAGGCCTTCCCCAGAAGCACAGAGGCCCAGGACCACAGAGGACAGACATGGAGGTTGTGCCAGTTGACATGTTCCATGCTGCCAACCTGCATTCCTTGTCTCCATCAGGGCAGCAGAGGCCCTGGTCTTGAAAAGCTGTACATAGTCAGCCCATCTTGTCCCCTGTCTAACCAGAGAGCAGCCCAAAATCCAGTCCTCAGAAATACACCCAGCCCAGGTTGAACCAAGGTTACCATTCCCATAGATGTGAGCTGCTGAGGACCTCAGAGCCAGCTGCCAGTGGAGAGGGCAGGAAAGAGGCCTGGGGACCAGAGGACCGCTGGTGCTGTCCTGGGCTTTGGAATGATGACACCAGGATGCTGCACCCCCCCCCGCCCCTCTCTCTCTCTCTCTCTCTCTCACATACACACACACACACACACACACACACACACACACACACACACACTGCAGTTTCACCCACATACCTGCCAGCCCAGCCAGGCTGGAGGGAAGGCGTGGGCCAGGGGACAAGAGCTGCAGGTGTTTGCTCTGAATATGTGCCCGGAGAAGTCCCGCCTGGCCTGCCCTGCCCACCCACCCCATCACTCTCTCGCTTGGCTCATTGGCTCAGAAAGCCCCACCCCACTGGGAAGTGAGGAACAAAAGCTTCCTCCAGGAGGCCCTCGGGCAGACGGGCAGACGGAGAGCCCCAAGGACAGGAGAGAGTGGCTGCTGGACCGAAGAAGGGTGAGGAGGAAATAGGGCAGGTGAGGGGGCTGGGAAGAAGGGACCAGGGGGCTAAGGATACCCAGGCTTCAGGGAGTGGGCCAGAGGGGACATGGGGTCAAAGTCTCTGAAGGAATCCCAAGCACATTTCAGGAGGGGAAGGAATTTCCTGTTAGATCAAAAAGAGGCCAGAGGACCAGAGAAGTCAAAAAGGAGACATCAGGAAGAATGGGGCATCTGTTTGCTTTGCCAAACATCTGAGTCAGGCCCAGAGCTGGGTCCTGGGGAGAAAGGACTGAATGGGACGTAGAGTGGGCCTCCAGCACCTCTGGCAGGTGAACCGACCTCTTGGGTACAGGTGATGTTCTCTGCCACAGAAGACAGAAGGGGTTCAGCATGTATCAGAAAGGCTGAGGCTGAGTCAGCAATGGCAGAGGCAGAGCTTGGGGTAGAACATGATGGTCACTCCAGAAAGAAGGCATGGAGGAAACACAGGACAGGGACCAGAATGGAAACAATGGGAGATGTGGCTAGCAAGCAACCACTAAGCAGATAAGGGGGTGACCCTGAGAGAGTCCATGGCAGGGTACAGACCATGCCGGTCTTTGTCCCTTCCCAGGTCCCTCTCCAAAGCCGGAATGGCTGGATTCCAGAAGAACCCACTGGGGTCAAGACAGTCAGTCCTCTGGTCCCAGTGCCAACACCTGTGGGTGGCAGGAATGATGCCAAGCCACTGTGGTTCCCAAGAGCTCTGTTCAGTTCAGGAGGGAATGTCGGGGATGCTTCCTAGAGCCAGAGAACAGTGAGGTTAAAGATTGTTCTGGAATATACCTAGGGGCCGGTGTGGATGTACCCAGCACAGAATCCGGCTCCTGTCAGCCTTCAGTAAGATTTGAAGCTGACAACCAACTAATAAAAACACCCTCCCACCTCTTCCTGCCCTGGCCCAGCACTGGCAGCTGACACAGACCTGATTATCCAATCTCTTTTGAAGTCATGGGGCACCTGCAGCTGAACTGTGGGGTAGATGAGGCTGGCTGCCATGTCCATGCAGGATAATTATCTTCACATGTGTTTATTACTTTGTAGAATAAAATAGACCCTGATTTTGGAACCTGAAGACCAAGGTTCAAGACCAGCTCTGCTACTTCCAGTTGTGGGGCTTTGGGCGGGTGCCTCTAGGCCTTAGCTTACCTCCCTGTGAAATGAGGACAAGGGCAATCCCTCCTGCTCCAAGCCATTTTGAGTGAGGACATGATGGCCCAGTGTTTGTGAAATGGTTCTGCCAACCCCACCATCATTAAGGATGCCCATTTCCAGGTTCTCCCAGGCCTGAGTGGGTGGCACCCAGGTGTAGACGTCCATATCCACATCAGACACCAAGAACCCAGCCAGAATGAACTGGGCATTTCTGCAGGGCATCCTGAGCGGTGTGAACAAGTACTCCACGGCGCTGGGGCGCATCTGGCTGTCAGTGGTCTTCATCTTCCGCGTGTTGGTGTATGTGGTGGCCGCCGAGGACGTGTGGGATGATGAGCAGAAGGACTTTATCTGCAACACCAAGCAGCCGGGCTGCCCCAATGTGTGCTACGATGAATTCTTCCCCGTGTCCCACGTGCGCCTCTGGGCCCTGCAGCTCATCCTGGTCACATGCCCCTCACTGCTCGTGGTCATGCATGTGGCCTACCGTGAAGACCGGGAGCGGAAACACCGTAAAAAACATGGACCCAATGCCCCGTCATTGTACGACAACCTAGGCAAGAAGCGGGGTGGGCTGTGGTGGACATACTTGCTGAGTCTCATCTTCAAGGCTGCAGTGGACTCGGGCTTCCTCTACATCTTCCACCGCCTCTACCGTGATTATGACATGCCACGCGTGGTGGCCTGCTCTGTGGATCCCTGTCCCCACACTGTGGACTGCTACATCTCCAGGCCCACAGAGAAGAAGGTCTTCACCTACTTCATGGTGGCTACAGCGGTCCTCTGCATCCTGCTTAACCTCAGTGAGGTCACCTACCTGGTGGGCAAGAGATGCTTGGAGATAGTAGGTCCCCGGTGCCAAAAGTCTCAGAGGGGACGCCATCTATCCAATACCTGCCCGCCTTATGTGCTTTCCCAGGGAGGCCATCCCCAAGAAGGGAACTCTGTCCTAATAAAGGCGGGGTCAGCCACAATGGATGCAGGTGGGTATCCTTAACCTGCCATCAGCAGGCAGGATCACAAGGTCCCCACCCTGCCTTTTGAGGCCGCCCAACAGGTGAATGTAGTGGCTCTCCAGCAGAGCAAGTGGAGAGGAGGCTGTGGGGACTCAGGAACTCACCCAGGGACCAGTTTGCAGTGGAGGTCACAGTTCAGTCCCTGGGTCCTGAGACTTGTATGTGGCAAGAAAGTACATCAAAACCTCTAATAAACATGATTTTCCAAGTTCTTCGCAGACCAGGTGGTGAGTGGTGGGTAGGGAAATATGGGACGGGTTCTGATGGGCCTCAGATAGGAGGCCAAGTCACTCAGTGGGTGTCTGAGCCATCCAGCACCCCCTGCAGACACACAAACACACATAGAGCGTACTGACGGGATGCAGAGCAAAATGCTCAAATGCTGGACCTTTGCCAGGGCCTCACAGCCCTGAAGCCAGCCAGTGAAGGCAGGAGGACAGGGAGCCATGGAGACCCTGTCCCCAGGAGCAAGTCCCCAGGCAACATCTGTCAGATGAACGCAATGTATTTGGTTCAAGGGGCCACTGCCTCCCACCATCCCAGCTTCCCCGACCCATCCAACATAGGTCCCAGAAAGGAAAGTCCCTGAGGGTGGGTGAGGACCATGCTCAGAGCAGGTTGGGGATGGGGTTTCCCAGGGTATCTAGAAAGTATGTCCCCACACGGATCCTCACACCTGTGGAATTTCCCAGTTGTTCACTGATAATGCATTCCGCAAGCAATCTCATTCTCCCCTACCATTACCACCATTCAGACTTGATAATCTTCAAACCATGCCTCCAGCCTGGACCTGCCTCTGAGGCCCACCAGCTGTCACTGGGCAACACTCTGGGTAATCCACAGGCATCTCACACCCAGCAGCTCCCAAGTGACCCCATCGCCTTCCCCTAAACCTGTCCTCCTCTCTCATAGGTGCTAATGCACACATGCAAACACTCACAAAGGGCACTGCCACCCCCACCTATCCAAGCCAGAAGTTGACTCACCACCCTTGTCCCCTCCCCGCTCTCAGCCCCTCATACCTCACATCCAAACCTCAATGATTCCAGTCTCTAAGGGTCCCTCAAGTCTGCCACCCACAGCTTTTCATCGATTCTCTTACTGGTCTCTCCAACATTCCCTCCACCAGGGAATGAGGTGATTAATCTGTACAGAAGTCTGACCACATCATTCTTCCTTCCCCTGCCTCAACAAGTATGAGGCCCTGAGTTCAAATTCCAGGACCACCAAAAAAAAATCTTCCAGCACCCCTACCTCAAACTCTGTAGTCCCCAACCTGACCCTACCAACCTCTCAACCTCATCTCTGGCTCTCTCCCTCCTTTTACCACCTATAACACCTAGGGGCTTGTGATTCCCCAAGCAGACACACCATACTGTGGCATGCCTCTGGCTTCTGTCATGCTGTCCCTCCTGGAGCCTGGAATGTCCTTCCTCCTCTATGACCTGTCCTTAAAACACAAGGGCAGCTTTCCCCATCTCTCCATTGCTAGCTTAGCTGTGCTTCTCTTCTGCCAAATTGGAACAGCTGGTTCCCCTGAGTGTCTTCCCATCAGCCTCTGAGCGCCTCTGAGCCCGTCAAGAAGCAGGACACTGAGTCACCAGGTCCTGGTAGTCATGAGCTGCCTGGGGGGAAGAAGGGGCTATATCCTGTTTATGGGAATCTAATGCCACACCTAGCCCAAGAGGTCAGCAAAGTGTTTTTTCCTTTGTTTGATTTGATGTTGCTAACTTAATCCATCCTAAAATCTGGTGAAGGAAACGTGCAGGCCCACAGGAATACTTCATGGCCACCCTGATTACAGGATGGGATCATAGAATTGCCTGTATCAGGTCAAATTCCCTGGAAGCAGAGCCAAAGGCAGGAATTTGGTGCCTGTGAAGGATGGAGCAGGGAGCAGGACAGGCAAGGCTGAGCTGAACTGGGTGTGTATTCTGGGAACTGGAGCTCGGCTTGATCTCTGTAGGGGAGGGGCTTTGAATCATAAATCCCACAAGAAGGTGGTCCCCTCTTGTAGACATGGGCACTAGGCCTTTGAACTCTCCTATCAGCCATTGGGTTCAAGTCACCACCTCCCATGGCAGGAGGGCTAGCAGGAAGGAGAAAGTAGGTGGCTTTAGTCTAGTCAAGGTCATTTCTCCAGGAAGAGCTACTGTCCATGAGCTAATATTCAGAGGAAATGGTGTCCCCAGTAAAGGGGACATGGTCAGGGCACATGTACCACATACTGAACTCTGGACCCCAGGAAACAAGGATGGTTCTTACCCCGAGTCCAGACCACAGCTGTGACCACCCAACCCAGGAAAACAGGTTGGCACTCTTGATTGAACCGGATGGCCCCATACTGCTCAAAGGCAGTTCCCAAGTCCTGGCCAGGGCACCAGCCACAACCAATGCCCTCCAGGAGCTGCTGGGTATAGCATACAGTGAGCTCATACCAGGACCTGACCACTCTCACAGTGTCCTCTCTAAGGAGGATGTTCCAGTCCTGAGCCATGAACCAGATGGAGGCCAATTCCATCTGACCAGCCCAAGGCCTCCAGAGGGGACTGAAACTAATCTTGCAGGCTGTGCTTCAGCCATCTCACTGTGGCATCCTCAGCTCCCCATATTCTCAAGCCCTCCATTCTGCTCTCTCCACCACTCAGACCTCTCCACCTCCACCTCCTTGGGAAATCCCCAGTTGCTCCAGCTTCCTCTTCTGCCCTCTTTCCTGTTCCCATGGATACTACCTACCTCTCCTTATGCATTCAGAACTGAGCCCACAGGCAAGGGTATGCTCCTGGTGGTGTTTTCCCATGACCTGGGTCCACCTGTGCATCACCCTGTCCTTTGCATTCCATGACCTGCTTCTCCTCCTCAATGTCTAGCTACCTACACATAGGACATGCCAGACCTTGTCATTACCCACAACTGCTCCGCCTCTAGAGTCTTCTATTGGATTCAAGTCAACAAGTGTTGGTTGCTTATTGTGTTATTGCTTGTTTTTTGGTATGGAGGAGGTTTTTTTAAATCTTTTTGAAAAGTGTTAACCATCTATGTCTAGATTCAGGGAAGATTCCATGAAATACCTCCATTCTCTACCTTTTCTTGTTTGTTTGTTTTTAAGACAACCTGTGTAGCACAGGCTGGCATTGAAGTTGTAATCCTCCTACGTCAGCTTCCTGAGTGCTGGGATTACAGGCAAGTGCCCCTAAATCCAGCTCGATTGCTTTATTTTTGTGTGAAATCTCAGTGCTAGGTGCCAGGAAGAGTCAGACTTGGTCTTTGGCCTCACAGAGCTTGCATTCTAGAGAAGACAGCTCCACACTCATGCCATTCTGGGAAAGCCCAAGGTGCTGAAAGAGATCAGATGGAGTATCTGACGTTCAGATCCCGGAAAGGGATCCCTGAGACCTCTTACACTGAAACCTAGAGAAACAGGAGGATTTTGTCCAGCAAGGGGGGTGGGATTCCACATAGATGGGACAGTATATGCAAAGGTTGGACAAATCCGAGAGAAGAAACCCAGAACAGCTGAGTCAGGTGAGGGTCTGGTAAGTTGGAGTCAGGCTGAAGTGGACAGGGCCCAGCTCATATAATGCTCTCTTTGTAAGTCTCTGGTTAATGATTTGGGACTTGATCCTACAGACAATGGCAAGTCCATGGAGAGATTTAGCACAGAGGTGACACCTGTGGTTGCAGGGTGGAGGGATTGAGGCAGGGCTACATGTTTGGAATCTGATGCAATAGTCATGGCCCAAACTGGGTGTGTGGAGCAGGAATGGGGAAAAATAAAAGTAGCTGGATTTAAGAAATGTTTACAAGATAGAGTCAGAAGATTTGGTGATTTGGTTGGGCCTGGGGACCAAGTAGAGGGAGGAATCAGTGCCACCCAGGTTTCTGGCTCCAGGTCGTGGTGCCATTTACTGACTCGGGAATCCTGGTAGAGGAGCAGGTTTGAGGGAGATGCAGTGATTTCAACTTCAGGCATATTAAATTTGAGATACAAAGAAGATATTCTGCTTATTCCCTCTCCTTCATAGACCATTTTAAGCCCTAGCTCCCTGGCTTTCTTCTACTACTTCTGTTGTTTTTGGTGACTTCCCAGCCTACAACCTATTCTCTTGGTTCCTTGACCCTCCTTGCTTTCAACAAGCTTTTTCTCCACCCATCAAACCTCTCACACAGATCTCACACCCTAGACTTGTCTGTACCAAGCTGGATCATCTCCCATCCATTAGCTCACTCATCCGCCTTCCCACTCCTTCCTTCCGCATCTGTTGACCCGCCACTCTTTATTACCCATCATCCCCCTCACAACCTCCCTCCCCTCCTTTCCAGTTTAGACTCCACAGGCCCCCCAGGTAATCACTGACTTGTAGACATCCTCCACCCTGTGCCTTTGGATGTCTCTCTAGTACTCACCTGGCAGGACCCTCTCCATGTAGCACTTGTTCCTGCACCTTTGGAAACTTGTGCAGCTGGACTGACTAGTCTCAACTTAAACTTTTGACCACAAACCTCAAGGGGGCACTCCACAGCTCTAAGGAATTCTACCTTTTCCTAAGACTAGCTTGATTCTCCATAATGACTATATCATACCTTCTCTCTCCTCACACCTCTAGCCTACATTCTCCAATCCTCTATTTCAGCTGATAACCAAGTATCCAGTGTCCCCTGGGGAACAGGAGCAAGAATCAAGTACAAACTCAGCCCCTCACACCACATGTGTCACCTTCCTGGCATGAACACCCGTCCCCTCTGCCTTCTTGCCTATAACATGGATGAAATGGCCCAGATCCAAGACACCCCCCCACAGTGGGACAAGAGACCCTGTCACCTTCCACCTAGTTTAGACAGTGCTCCACAATTGGTTCCTCTCTCTCCTGCCTCACAATTTCCCTTTCTACAAATACATATCATATTTTCATTTCTTTCTTTTTTTTCAAATTCTCTCTTGACACCACATCCTTCTCCAGATACCTACCATATTGTCACA